TTTTATAAAAATTTAATTTTCTACATATTTATTCCTTTTTCTGTTTATTATTATACAGAATCAAGTTTTTATCTCGTAAAGAAAATATATTTTCTTAGATTATCAACTTCATCCATATAACCATGATATATTTTGCCTAAAAGTATCCTTATTTATAAATAATATAAAAAGACAACATATATCTGTATGCATTGTGTATTTTATAGCCCATTATTTGTGACATGGACTATCGGAAAAGATATGAGGTTAAGAGGTTGCATTGGAACATTTAATGCAATGCAGTTACATGCTGGACTTAGAGAATATGCAACAACTAGGTAAAATTTTTTATTTTTAATTTAGATAAAATATTGCTTTATGTTTTTAAAAATATGTGGAACTTTTTAAAGTGCATTCAAAGATTCACGCTTTAATCCTATCACACGGGATGAATTACCGCGTTTACATGTTAGTGTGTCAATTCTGAGACATTTTGAAGATGGTGTTGATTATTTAGACTGGGAAGTAGGTGTCCATGGAATTCGTATAGAATTCCATAATGAGAAGGGTAATAAACGAACTGCTACTTATTTACCTGATGTTGCAACAGAACAAGGTTTGTAATTTACTTATATTTCATTATCTTTGGTAAATACTTTTATCACAGACTATAATTCTGTATTATACTACACAATATAAAATTCTATGCTACAAACATTAGATATTTTGAAAAGCACAGTTTATTGTGTTTAGGATGGGACCAGATACAAACAATAGATTCATTGCTGCATAAAGGAGGTTACAAAGGGTTGGTCACTCCAGATATTAGACGTAGTGTGAAATTAACAAGATATCAAAGCGAGAAGGTTACCGTAAGCTATCAAGATTATATGACACATTGGCATAGCCGGAGATGCTAGCAGCTGGCTTGGGGTCCTAGTCAAGGACCCCAATTGCCACCAAATTCTGTTGCAGTTCATTATAACACTAATACGTCTCACACCTCCCATTTACTATACAATAACACTCAATACAATTCTTATATGGCCAGTCAGGAACATGGATTAGTAATGACACAACGTAATCATCCTGCATTCATTCATCCTCTTCCAATACCCCCTATTTCTCCCGTTATGTTACCTATATGGGATTACTCATCATTTTGGTGGGATCAAACAAGTTCATCTTATCCTCCATCACATTCTCATCTTCATCCTCCGCCCCGTGTTCATCGTTTGTCACCACAAGAAACTGCTGATCGTGGAATTCGTAAACGAAAATGACATTGGAGGCGACTATTGTTTGCAATCTTTCATTGTTTAAAATGGTGCCTACTGTACTTTGTATGTTTCTGCATACACAGTTTCCCCCTTATGATACCACATGGTCCTCCTTGAGGACAATAGCATTTTATGTATGATGGCACTGTCTTTTTTCGTTATCTCAGATGACGTAATTAATATCATTATTTAACTAATAATTGGTATAATCGTAAACTATATACGCATATACGACAAGTGCATTAACTTTTAACTTTAATATTTATAATCATTGATAAAACTATATGTCAAATATTCAGATTTTAAAACATATATTATATAATTGCCTATTCTCATGTATTTTAATGCGTTCATAAGTTAAACAACACGATTCAGTTCATAGAATAAATATTTTAAGATTAAGAAATAGATTATACATAATGTGCAATTAGCTTTGCCATCATACTTACTGTGTCCATTTATATTTATGTCTGCAGTATACGAGTGATATGAATAACTTTATAGCACAGTGATGCTGCCTGCAATTCACTGCCTGCTTCACAAGGTTTAATGTACAAATTCACGCGAAAATGTTTCTATTATCCATATATTATAAAAAATATAGAATATCATTTTTAGATAAATACATAAGTGAAGATTGAAAAACATTAGATTTTCTATTGATAATATTTCTTCTAACGATGTTCTATTAATTCATACATAGTATATAGTTATTATATTCTGCATAACTTTTGTATTATTATTTACCAAAAGTTATCGGAAATTCACATAGATGGTTAAATTAATATAAATTAGATAATTATCTAAAACTATATGTTACATTCTCTTAAATTAATCATATGCAAAGAAAGTTATTAACTTCCTTATCGTTATTTTGTCATGACTGTGTCATGAATAATATATATGTAAGTACTAATTTTTAACTTACTAATTTAAATTTCATTGTATTGATGGCATACATAAATTTTGCTTTAATATGTGCAAATGCTTACATTAATGCACTAAAATTTTTAAAAGTGAAAGCCTTTAATAACGTCTAATTTTTTATTAACAATATGGACTTTTATATTTTTATTTCTTTTTTTTATACCATTGATACATTGAAATTTATTAATTCTAGTTATATTATAGTCCAGCGTATTATTACAGCAAAGGATCATACTACTGAATACATAAATATGTAATTCTTTGTGAATAATCATAACTAAGATTAGTCATAATCAACTAAATTAATAGTAGATACCTATTTGAAAATTATTATTAATTTTACGAAATTTAGATAATACTCTTAAAAAAATAGCAATGTAATAAAAATGATAGAATGGGACCTCTACTGTAAATAAGCAATGGACTGCATTATGACTATTAAAATGCGTTAATAATAGTTGTATTATAGTTGTAGAAGAAGATGTGACGATCTCATTGTGATTTTAATATTGTGTGACTCATAAAACACAAATAGAGTTGCTATTGCTTTCTGTAACATACTTATCTTATTACTTTGTTTTTCTTGAAACAACTTATTATTATATCATGTTAAAATGATTCGATGAAGCAAATATTTGATGACTTTGAGGTACAGTAAAATGTGTTCTTCCACGTGTTGATATTTTCACTTTTTTTATTTACTAACCTTCACTTAACTACTTCTATACACTGCCAAGTTATTAATTACTGCTTTTATTATTATATATATCAAAGCCCTTGTTAACAAATACAAGTGGAGCAAAACTTGATTTTGTTAATTATAATATAATTATTTTAATTAAAATATATAATATACTTGGGTTTTCTTGGTATAAGCATTTGTTTAGTATAGTTTTATTATTCATTGTTTATATATATATATACACACACATATACTCAGCATTATGTGATGTCTAATTAACTGCCATTTATATACTTAAAATGATGTCCAGTATTTGAAAACTAATTGCATGTGCTTGATTTGTGACAATAGAACATTTCAAGTCCTTAGTTAAAAATAAAGTATTCAGAGTGAATAAATTTAATATTTTAAGTTTAAAGTGTATAACAAAAATTAGTAATGAAATAAAAGAGATTAACATGTTTAAGGGATGAAAACATCATGAAATAAATATACATCTTTTTATATTTATATTGAATTAATGTTTCTACATTGATGTAGAATAATATAAAACATACATTATTATATAGGAGATATAACTTTGTTGTTTTTATGCACATAATAAATTTTTCTTGTACAAGTAACTGAAATCATTTTTCTCTTAAAATTGATTTGGATAATAAAGTTAAGCGGTAATATACATTATATAATTACAAGAGTACTTGCAATTACAACTAAAAAGATTTAATATTTTATGCTGTTGCTCACTTAAAAAGAGCACATTATTCTATGACTTCAAATGTATTTTAATGGACAAAATATGTATTGTGCCTAATGAAGAGGATTTCTGTTAAATAATTTATACATAATAATATGTATCTACATAGATTCATAAAAAATGAAAAGTCCACAATTGAATGAATATAAAGAAAAGTTATAATAATTTATTATATAATTGGAACAAATGAATAAAAATTTTATATTATCAAATTTGATTACACTATTGTAATTGTTATTAATATCCCTATTCTGTTATATATGTCGGAGATGAAAGGACACCGGAGCCTTCCCGTGGAACTTCGGGAAAATCCGTAAAATCGTAATTAAAGTTTACAGTTGTAATTAAACAATTTGCCGTCATTCTGTGTTTGCGATTTGTGATAATAAGCTTGGGCTCAAGGCGACCATCAGTTGCCGAACGTAGCCGCAGTCAACGGGACGGGCGCTCCGTCTAACAAAGGTGCGGAGTGATGTTATGACCCTCATTAAAGGAAATACCCATAGAGGTACCTGACAGTAAAACATGCCAACGGTTCCTTCGGACAATGAATACCTGATGTTGAGGCACGTACATAGAACAAGTCCAGTTAGCCCGAGGACCCGCCATAAAACCTGGGTTTTTTCGGCAATTAGGATTTGTGCAAACGGACAGGCAGCTTTTGTCCCAAATCGACCAATCGACAGCGACGCCGATCGGAGGAGCTGGCGTACCTAGATACACTACCAGAGGTTGTCTCGGTGGTGACGTTGGGACGAACATTCATTCCTTCGGGAGATCTCTCATTGGGACGAAAATTCATTCTTTCTTGAGATCTCATCGACGAAGGGAGTAGCGTCTTACGACGAGTGAGTAGTACACGTTTGAGTTAGAGCAAGTATATCTATCCTCCCGTTGACCGTGAATTCGTTATCGAACCTAAAACCATTTTCACTAGTATTGTGAGTGCCTAATCACCGCTGTTGATTGTCGAATCGGTAGTGTTCATACTCGTAGTATCAGGCCGTATCTTCGTTATAACGCAACACTGGCCAACTCCAAGGGAGGTCTATCAAACGCCCACAACCCTGTTCCTGACTCTTCTCCGACATATATATACTTAATTTGTATGTACTACAACATTTTATATTCTTTAACTGCTCAAAATTGTTTGAAATTATGATTAAATTTATAGTTACGAAATAATTTATGTATGTTTATGTATGTATTTAAAAGAAGGATAACATTCATTAGGAACGTACTCCATAATTAATGATAAAATAAGTTTCGTTCAATTAATGCATAAATGTACTTATTAATTATATTTAAATATCCAAAATATATAAATTGATGTATTCATGTATTTTTGAAATTCTAACTAAAACAATAATATGCATTCTGGTATTAGAGAAACATTCAGTAGAAAAATAGCGGGCAATGAAACAGCTGTTTTTTTGCGTGATGAGACATCTAGCGGAACGCGTGCAACATAATCTCATATGCAATAGCAACAGCAACAGCAACGAATGAATAAGATGCATGATACGGAACCGATCGCATCTATCGTACTTAGAAGAGTTAACTAAGAAACCATGGCAGCTGGTTGTTGTGGAACGAAAAAGCAAAAGTTGAATGATTCTACAAGTATACCACGTAATAATACCGTAAGTTTACAAAATGGTATTCGTATACGGAACTCTATAATAGTTCAGCCTGAGATGGGCTTTTATTGTTTCGATGTCCTTTACTGCCAACTGCACCAACTTGACCCACCAAAACCACCCAACTTCAGTAACGAAGCTTTGTGAGTATTTGTTATTGATATTCCCATTCAGCTACTTTCTTGTTTGCTATTTTTAATAGTTCAATCTTTTATGATCATAAATTTGAAAATACGTTTCTTCCAATATGATATTTTTGATATTTTATTTATGATTTATCTTCTGATTGTCTCATTACATGTATTTACATTTCGTGTTTATAGCTGTATCCGAAGGTTATAATTTTTATTTTATGAATATGATATTGCAAATATGTCTCAAATATTGTTGACACAATCTTTGTATTCAAATAGTTTTTATTCAATCGAAAATAAGAAAAATCATTGAACATATTTTATTTTTATTATTTTGTAACCTATGAAATACTTGAAAATGTTCGGTAAAAATAGATATAAGTAGTAACTATGTAGATAAAATTACATGCATAAATATTTGAATTAGGATTTTTGAAAGACTTGTGCTTTTTGATTTCATATCATTTTTCAATTTCAGTTAGATGAGAATTTTGTATTCAAATTTTAATATATTTGATCAAAATTAATATTAATATATTAATATTTATTAATATTTTTATATTAAAGCCCTTTATTTGTAACATGGACCACGGGTAAAGATATGAGATTAAGGGGTTGTATTGGTACATTCAATGCAATGCAGTTGCATGCTGGATTAAGGGAATATGCTACTACTAGGTAGTATTTTATATTAAATATAATACCAATATAAAAGACATTTTATATATGTTTATAGTGTATCTTTTTTATAGTGCTTTCAAAGATTCACGGTTTAATCCTATCACATTAGAAGAACTTCCACGATTACATGTAAGTGTTTCTATACTCCGACATTTTGAAGATGGAGCAGATTATCTAGACTGGATAATAGGAGTTCACGGAATTCGTATAGAATTCCATAATGAAAAAGGCAATAAACGAACTGCTACATATTTGCCAGATGTAGCAATAGAGCAAGGTTTGTATTTTCATTTTATAAATTTGAATTTGTATCCTTAAGAGAATTTTGTAAACAATTGTTCTATAATACGAAGCAACATATATTAATGAATTAATAGCTTATTTAATGATTAAATTATGTTTAAGTTACGGGTATGTGTAATGGTACTTGTAGAATTTTACAAAGTCAAAATTTTATTGATCTAGGATGGAGCCAAATTGAAACAATAGACTCTTTGCTACATAAAGGAGGCTATAAAGGATTAGTTACTCCCGATATTAGACGTAGTCTGAAATTAACTCGATACCAGAGTGAGAAAGTGACTGTGAGTTATCAAGATTATTTGACACATTGGCAAGGTCGAAGATGCTAGCAACTGCCCTGGGGTTCTCTCAAAGGACCCCCCATTTATCATATATCTGGCAACATTTGTTATCTAAATACAGATACATTTAATTGTTGTCTACAATATATTAATTATCAATGCAATAATATAATGGCCAGTCAACAAGCATTCATTATAATAGAAGTTAATTATTTTTCATATACACAATTGTGTTCAATATCTATTAATTTTATTGTCTTATCCTTACAAAATCATCTTTCATTTCTATATATATATGTACAACTTTTTTATTTATCATTATATCATAATCATTATCACAAATGTCTTCCTGTAAAAGCTATGGAATACATAAATATGGTACTAAAAGCAGTTCAACTTAATCTTTTGATATTTCCAGTGGTGTGGTTTACTTCATAAGAAAATATGTTTGTTAACAAAGATAATAGAATCCTGAGTATGATGGCCTTATCCTTTCTAAATCATTATTTACAAAATACTAAATGTAGTAAAAATAATATTAATGTTCAAGCTAAATACAGTTGGAAATCTTTTTCAAACTGTTCTATATTTGATATAAATGTATTTTCATTTAGCTCATATAAAATATTGTTTATTTCATTTTTTTGTCCATAATATGTCTCTTTTATTGTGACATTTCCTAATTAATAGTTGAAAAATAAATGTACTTAATGTGTTTACTCTTGCCATCATACTAACATCTGCATTTCTGATTGTAGTCCAAAAAATTGTGATATTCAAACGAAATTAATATATTTCACTATTAGTAATATATTTGAGAAAGTAAACATGGATGTCTGGTATGTATAATTGTAAGCATTAATAGCTTTTTTTAAACATTAAATATTAAATATACTGTTTATTATATAAAAAATAAAGAATTGTTAAATATAATACTGAAAAATTTTTGAAATTAATATTTTATATTACTTTTTTGTATAGATATATATATAATATCGTGTACATATAAGTGTATTTTTACTTATAAAGATATAAATTTATTCAAGCACAAAAATCATTCATGTGTATTGTTTCAGTAATTTGTTGTTTGAATACTGAAACAAAATGAAAAGTTGTGCTCTATAATTAATGAAACTATAATATACTTTTTATAATACACAAAATGTTATAATGTTCCAAATAAAATTTTAACAAATATCATATTTTATAACAGACCCATTTTTTAAAAGTATTTTTTAATTTATGAAGTTATTCAGGATAATTAACTGAATCTGTTTATTGTCCAAGATTTATAATATGATCACATATTTTTTTCTAAACTTATAAAATTATTATTTTAGTTTTTAGTTTAAGGTCGTACTATAATTACAATGCACCTGTAATTGATTTATAGAAATGGATAATCAATAATAGATTTTTTGTGATATATACAGTCTAATTTAATACTTAAATAAATAATTAAATTCTACTAAAATTTGTTATACATTTTGTAAATGAATAAGTTTTATAAAATTACTCCATACAGACTGATTAATTATACAATTTAATTTATTGCTCTTAACGTTTTACTATATAACACATTTAGTATCATTAAGGAAATGAGTTTTTATCTGACAGTTTAGTATCCTGTATAAAATATAAGAACAAATATGTAAATATGTTATGTACATACAGACATATATGCATACATATATTAACATATACTAAGTAATATGTATATAACTATACCTTTCTATTTTCTATGTATTTATGAATCTTTAATATAGTATTTGTTATGTTTTCCATCGATGCTGCTTGCGAGTAGGTCACTGTGCTACTTACAACCATATTACAGAGGAATAAAAATGATAAGGCTCTAGCTTGAGGTCTGACAACATTCCACCAGAATTTCAGAAGTTCGTTTACTTCATATATGTATGGAATTCTATATCCTATACTTCCAGCAATCTATAAGAAATTGTCTAGAGGTAAAAGGTCGATTAATTGCAATATAAAAAATAAAGAAATACAAAAATGTTACAGCAAGATTTATTGTTGGAGCTACTATTAAGGAATATAGTAATGCATTACTCTCAAGGAATGCAGATGCTTTCAATTCTTGACACATTATGCAATTAGATCGAAATAATAGCAGATTTTCTGTAATAAACTGAAAATAACAATTGTTACTTTGTTATGTATTATTATTATTATAAATTAATTTATTGCTATTCTTTTCTATTGTAAGAAGATTTAATGATTTTTATATATTTTAACATACGGATTTATGACAAAAATATGCAGAAAGTGCTGATCCTGTTGATATAAATAGCATAGTAAATGCCCAACCATGATGACGTAATTTTAATTGTTGTCTAAATATTGAATTAATTACTGCCCCGTTAATACCAGCCATCCCTGCTATTATAGAATCTCCATATTTTAAAGACCAGCTTAAAAAAGTGATACAATATTATTAGAATTTTTGTATTACAAATAATGAATTAACTTGAACAAACTTATTAATGTTATATCTTTATAATGTTAACAAAAAATGTATGAATTATGTGACAAAATAAGGTTACATACACTTCACGTTGCGGTTTCCATTCATTAATTAACTTCAACCGATTTTCGACAATCTGGGAATTACTTAACGTATAGTCTGAGGACAGTCTTATCATTTTTCAATTTCTTAGATCTTATTCTAAACGTCTACCTACACTTTCCCCTTAACACCGTGTAATATATTGTATATATTTTTAACGTATAATACGACGAGTTTTATTCTTTCAACATTACCTACTCGACATAGAATACATATTATGTGAATCTTTCTACAGATTATAGTTTTATTCTTTACCGCAAGATGACACTGTTCGAAGCCTTTTCAGCTTGCGACACATACTGGAAGTTTATACAGGTGCAATTACAAACTTTAAACATACCGTCGATATTTAAATAACTTCTATTATTAATATTAAAATAATACATTCTCTGAAATGAATCTCTTTCTCATTCTAATAAAAATATCGTCCTTAAGTATCCGATATGAATATTTCCGAAAATTATATGTGTACGTCCGCCGGTGCAATCGTAGGGGTTGCTTTCACGGGGGAGTGTGTCACGAGACGACCTGACGTCACGTATGGTGCGATCGACCAATCGGAGGTGGCGTTCTCACGACTAGTTAGTTTTCCGACTGCTAGAATAAGCGCGACGCCATATTGCCCGTGGCCGAGTGGTGGCGGCCTGTGTTTATATCCGTTTCGTTTTACCACGTTTCGACGGGCCACCGGGAGGTCTCGCGAGTGACGTGCCGAGCCGTGTATATGCCCGTCTACGCCACCCGTGAAACAGGTCGTCGATTCGCGTGACAATAGTGAACCGTGCGCGATCGTGGAGTATCGAAGTGACACACCGTTCTTTGTGTTACTCTCTTTCCCATTTCTTCACCCTTCCGTAAAGTAGTGCCGTTTACGCTTCTTTGTCGACGTTCACCCTTTATCCATAGCCTTGTGTTCTGACGTATACGTGCACCAGGATTTAGTTGTCATCAAACGAGATGCCAGTTCGTAAGCAAGGTGGTAAGCTCTCTTATTCTATCGAAACAAAAGCCACCCTCTGAACACGTCGATTCGAAGTAAAATCCAGAATCGTCCAATGGGAGGGGCGATACGTATGGGTCACTCAGTCAGCTGTCATCTGACTGTCAGTTGCATGCCTCTTTAATCGCTGCTTTCTCTCTTTCTCTTTCTCTCTTTCACTGGCATCGGGTTATCGAGTTTCACGTGCTTTTCAACGAAATGCGAGAGAGAACGCGTGACCTATTCGCAAATGGTTTAATTGTCGATACCGTGGGTGAAAAAGACTTCGCCAACTCGTTGTTATTGTTAGTTTTTTCAGGCCGTGCGCGAGTTGCGCACGACGCTCGACCTTGAATTATATAGTTAATCGAGAGAGGTCGCATGTTTACGGGAACGCAAAATTACGTTCGGTGTAATCGCGCGTGATTATTAAAGGGATGATTAATGATCATGATAACTTGTTGGAGTTTCGACCACGTGCAGTGTTACTTGGTTCGTGGTGCTCGCGTCGAACGCTTTTACGAACGCGGTGTCGTACCAGGAGGTCATTATTAAAGCTAATTCAAATCCCTTAATTAAGTAATTCCTGTAATTTCATTTTATCCATTTCTTTCATTTGATCGTTTTTTTCGTTCCTTTAATCGTAGTTCGTGTTAACTATAGTTAAACAGTTGTTAAACGGTTAAGTTAAATTATCGAAAATATGGAAAGGATCGATAGGTCGAAGTATCGAGTACGGGATCTTCGTCTCCTCGATGTAGGCCAGTATAGTAGAATATGTTGCAATAATCACACGGCTGTTAGTTGTCGGTGCTTGGACATGGTCCAAGAAAACGCAATAATTTCAGCTCTGGCGAGACTCTTTTGCCGCGATTATGTGACGAGACAGATAGGACATAGGCTTTGTTGGCCGTATCACGTGTATTCTCTAGAAATTTCCCTTCTTTTTATTCTACCTTCCTTTACGATCGGTTTCAATGCGTTTATTTTACCTCCCAATAAAGGTTTTTATCTTAATAAACTGTTCGTGACAGCTGATGCGAGTGACCCTTGGCTTTTACTGATTTTCTTTGAGACATTTTAAATTATGAATGTTTACCTTGTAAATTTTGTAATGGAATAATAATAGTATTCTTTTATCTGTATTTTCCGTTTTTTTATTGCATTACCTGCTTGATTGTTAACAATTATTTAGTGTATAATTTAGTGATATTATTTTGATTAGGAGTTTGATTTCTTTCACAAATTGAATAAACTTGTCTGTCTTATTTCTATTGAAGCGGTCCTTGAGATGTGGCTTGATTCTATAGTGATCATAATATAGATGTTTAAAGATCAGGTAATTAAAGATCATAGTAAACTATCAAAAACAACTTCCTTTTGTCAACAATAGCCTTTACTACAGAGCATATAACGCTGCAACCAAGTAATCTAAAGATAATTGTCCATCATTCGCTAATCTCCTCAAATCTTCTCAAATTCTAACAAACATATTACAATGTTATAAATAGTATTTCTTGCATAGATAATTGATTTTTTAATTAAAAACATTGGTATTTAATTAAGTATCCTTATGCACCATCTTTTTTGAGCCGTTGGTGCCCATACAACTTTCACTACGCGGAAGATCAACGACATTTTCCACAACCTCTCTCATTAGGTTTCTGCCTATTTATCGTTACTTCTTAGGCTCCGACGCCATAAACTGGTGTCAATAGCACTTGATTTATGGATGGGTTTCCATCTAGGGTCAGAGCAAATGGAGAGGATTTAGTACTAATCGATAACTTAGCCGCAACTTCGTTCAACTATTCGAAGAACTTTTGTTTTATAAATTACGTGCGTTATTGCGTGCAATAAATTACAAAACGACATCGTAAAATGTGTCGGGTTCCATGCTTTTGGTGTTGGATTGGGAAAGAACTTGGTGTTTGAACGAAACGATCCGGTCTCGCATAAAGAAACGTAACGAGAATCTGATAGAGTTGGAAGAGGACTTCCCCTAATCCTGACTGCTCGTTGACCTCTTATAGAGATACGATGAAAACGAGTACTCTTT